GACGGGACCCGGCCTCCGCGGGGTCCCACTCAAAAGCGGCCCCAGGGCCAGGCCCCGGGCGCGAGCTGATAGCCTGACTGGGTCGGACTCGCTCGAAACTCCCCGCTTTCTGATTTCAACTTTGTAATTTTTTTTTCCCACGGCTTCACGAGGGTCCGGGAGGGAGAGGAGCAGCCGCGACGGTGTCCCCGAGTGTCAGCGCCCGTGGGCTTGTCTTGACCCTTTATTTAAAGCCTCCGTACCGGCCAGGCCCGCGACATACTGTTTGTATTTGGGGGTGTTGTTTCTTGAGGACTGCTCTGGTCCCTCCAAACCGCGGGGGAGGGCGGCGAGGCTCCGGTCTGGCCTGGCGGTGTCACAAGTTAGCTGTCCTTTCTCAGAGTCAAACCCAACAAAAAGGCGAGAGGAAAATCAATAAAGTCCACGTGCTCCCGGGCCTCCTATGGAAAGAGCCGCTGCGGTGGCCGGATGCCCGGCCGTGGGCAGGGTTTGGCTCCGACGGGACAAAGAATTTTCACAACCCAGAGAGGAGGAGGCGTCCCAAAGTTGAGATCCAGGTCCTGGGTGCTGCGGGGGTCTCCCTGGCTGCCCCTGGCGCCCCAGTGGCCAACTGGAGCCATTTAAAAATGGCAGAAACAGCTGCAGGCCAAAACACACACAGGAAAACAGCCTGCCATCGCTGCCTTGCCCCTGGGACTCCCCAGGGAAGGTTGGGGTTCTCAGCCCCCGTGTGAAGAAAGAACTGGGGTCAGGCCGGGCAGAGTCCCTTGTGTCTGTCCCTGACCTGTAGGATGCAATGGGCCCCTGGGAAGCTGCCTTTTTCTTTCTGCTCCTGGAGGCGTGGCGGGTCCTCCTGCCTCAGGTTGCAGCCGGGCCCAGCCTCCTGTGCTGTGACAGCTGTGCCCAGGGCCACCAGCTGCTCTGCAAAGAGGGCAGATGGATGGGCTGGTGTCCCCACTGGCCCACCCCAGAGCAGACCAAAGTCAGCAGCCTGAGGCTGCCAACTGCTGCCGCCCAGGCCTGGGGCTGGGGAGAGGGCTGCAGCCACACCTGTCCCTGTGTTGGGAAACTGGCTGTCACTTTCTCAGACCTTGGGCTGGGGACCTCTGGATTGGGTGACCACTGTGACCTTGGGCAAACCGCAGTGCTCACCTGTCTAACCTAGCTGTTAGGGACAGTAAAGTCTTAGCCAGGCACAGGTGCTTGAACATACTGTCCTTATGGTGAGAGGAACTTTGGAAACTTGGCTTTGCCTACCCCCCGCTTTGCCCATTTTAAGCAGAAAGCTTGGTCTTAGTGCCCAAGTTTCTCCAGCCCCGAAGGGCTAAACAGGTCCTTGCTGTGCTTTTGGAACATGCTGGGGTTGTTTATTAACTATGACCACCAGCCATCCATTTTCCCCAAGGGCTGGGATGTGTGGTTGCTGGATTTAGCAAATAAAAATACACAACACCCAGTTCAATTTGTATTTCAGATAAACAACAAAATAGTTTTTTAAAATAAATGTTACCAGCCAGGCGTGGTGGTGCATGCCTATAATCCTAGCACTCTGGAGGCTGAGGCAGGAGGATCACTGGACTATATAGTGAGACCATGTCTCAGAGAGAGAGAGAGAGAGAGAGCTGGGGGTTTAGCTCAGTGGTTCCACCACCTGCCTCACAAGCACAAGGACCTGAGTTCAATCCCCAGTACCGAGAGAGAGAGAGAGAGAGAGAGAGAGAGAGAGAGAGAGAGAGAGAGAGAGGGAGGAGTGGGGAGAGGGGAAGAAAGAAGGGGAGAAGTAAAATGTTACTGCTGAGAGTAGCTCAGTGGTAGAGGTAGAACAAATGCTTAGCATGCACAAGGCCCTGGGTTCAATCTCTACCAAAACAGAAAAGCTTTGTTAGTGTAAAAGTACTCCCCATGGTGTGTCGGGGACAGATTGTCCCCAGGAAGTCTCCCCCTTCCCTGCAGTGCCCGTGTGACCAAGTGGCCCATCAGTGTCCCCATCGCCATAGCTGGGGGTGTTTCTTGTGAGCCCCGGCCACCCCGAAACCTCCTCTGACAGCCCTGCCTGTGGGGTCCCCACGCATCAGGCCCGCAGCCTCTCCTATCTCCTTTCTGTCAGGCATCCTGGGGGCAGGCCAGGCAGGCGGTGCAGTGGCTGAGGGATGCAGAACCGTGAGTTCCTCTCAGGGAGAAAGGGCCGGAGTGTGGGCCGGGTGAGAGGACAGGGAGCAGTAGGGTGGCGCTGGTGGAGATGGAGGTGGAGCTTTGATCCCAGGGACCCCGCTTTGCACCCTCTGGGGATCTGTCACAGGTCCCTCCCTGCAAGGCACATATAGGTGAGCTGGCCCTAGTTAGGATGAAGCCATCCATAGGCCCAGCCTTCTGGCACCTCAGGGACCAGCCCTGGGTAGCCAGTGCCAGGTGAAGGGCCTAGAACACCATAGGCAGTGGTGACCCCAAGATGGTCCATTGGGCTTGGCCCTGGAGCATCCAGGATGGGGCCTCGTCGTTTCTATAGGGGCCGTGCTGGGGAGGAATGTTCAGGAGCGTGTCCTGTATCTGGGGGGACTTCCCTTCCTGGTTCTGTCCCAGGAGCCAAGTCTGGTGGGAAGAAAGGTCCTGCAGCCACGCTGGCGACCAGGGCCGACGAAGCAGGGAGGGCTCCGCATGCCCAGCGGTGGTGGAGGACCCTGGCCCAGTGCCTGCAGGGGTTGGGACCGGGAGAGCTGTGGCTCCTGGCGCAGCACATGGCCCAAAGCATGTTTTTAACATAGGCAGAAATCTGGATTTTTGTATAGAGTGGAGTCTGGTGTTATTTGTTATTTGGGGGGTTATTTATGAATTTTTTTAAGTTTCGCAATTGATTCACATATTTAAAAATACCACACAGACCAAAGCAATCTTGCCCAGTGGCTGCTGTAAGGTGATGGCCGCCTTGGGCCTGGTGTTCTGGGCAGATGGCTCCGAGGCTGTCGTGAGAGGCCTCAGCTGTGCCCGCCTATGTCTGGGAGCCCTGGGCCGTGTCCTTTTTCTTCTTTGCTGCTGGGGATGGAACTCTGGCCTTTCCAGAGCAAAGCCCTTTCTCATCATTTAATTGTGAGACAGGTCCTTATGAAGTTGCTCAGGCTGGGCTAAAACTTGCCAATCTCCTGCCTCAGCCTCCCCCTACGTTCTGAATGCTCCACCTCTGCCCCAAGCTCCTCAGTGGCCACAGCTAGGGATGCTCATTATGGGTGGCTTGGGGGCTTTGCAGAGCGGCCAGAGCCTAGAGCTCATGACCCGTAGCCTGGAACCCCGTGGGGAGGGCAGCAGCTCCAGCATTTGTCTTGGCTCATTGCTGCCTGCAGGATTTCCGCCCCGAAGGGCGCCTATGTGTTACATGTCTCTTCGTTCAAGCTGCTCATGCGTTGGTTTGCTGAGCCTAGGCCCAGAAGGCTGGCAGGAGGCCTTGGGCTCTGCCACTCACGCTCCCCTCAGGATGGACTTTAGTGTTCACGGGTGACAGGAGAGCAGAAGGTGGGTCTGAAATCTCAGTCCTTGGGAAGCTGAGGCAGGAGGATCACTGTGAGTTCCAGACCAGCCTGGGCTACACAGTGAGTTCCAGGCCAGCCTGAACTGCACAGTGAGATCTTGTCTGAAAAAAGGAAGGAGAGGGGGGTCTGGGAGGGACCTGATAGCTGCTCCACAAAGCAACCCAGTGTCCAGGCTTTGAAGAGAGTGGGTTCGTGCACTGTGCCTCAGTTTCTTTATCTGTCAGACGGGGACAGTGGTGTTTCTCACTGCATGGGTTACAGAGACACCAGAGCAGCTGTCTGGTGCTCAGCTGGACAAGACCCTGGTGCCAGGACAGCCAGTCCTTAGCTCCACGGGCAGGGCGGGTGTGGGCCGCAGTGAGCAGGGCTTGGGGCGGGGTATCTGTGGTTCTGGTTGGCTGCTTTGGGGTTCCTTGGGGCCTAGAAGCCCCTGCAGTGTGTCCAGTAGCGCGTGAAGGCCATGCACTCATGCGGGAAGACCCAAGCACAGCTCGGGTGCAGAGGCCAAACAAGTGTGGAGCAGCCAGGCCCGGCTGGGTAGGAGGCTGAGGGGGGACGGTCACGGGTCCAGGTCAGCTTTGGTGACCTAGCGAGACCGTGTCTCAAGATGAAATAAAGTGCGCAAGGGCTGGGGTGTAGCTCAGCAGTACAGCACTTGCCTGGCGTGCGTGAGAACTGGGCTTTTGTGTCCAGCCCAGATGTGAAAGCCGTCAGGCAGCCAGGGTCCGTGGGCCCCTCCCAGCTCTCGGTCCCCGGGGGCCATCGTCACTGACGATGCTGGTAGCTCTGCCACCTGAGCCAGGTGTGCATTTGGCTGGAGTCCACCGGGGTCCTTTGAACAGCAGGGTTCCCCGCTGGGCCACAGGTGGGTCCTGGGTGACCTTGGGGTACAGACCCCAGCCTTGCCTCTGGACTCACAGTCTGTGGCCCAGTCAGGGAGCCATGGTGGCCACAGTGATCACCTGGAACCCCGTGGCCCTCTGGCGACGGAAGCCAGTTGCCCACTCCTTCTAGCGGGGCCTAGACACCTTCCTGTGGGAGTCCCAAAGGTGGGGTGCAGGGCCCCACATGGTCTGGCTCTCCGCACCCTCCACAGCACCCCTGAGCCCCTTCTGCCCTGTGCCTCCTGGGGAGAGGAGGCTGCGGGTCCTGACCCTGCTCCCGGCCCCTCTGAACTTGGCAGGGAGAAGAAATGGGTCACGGTTGGCGACACGTCGCTGCGAATCTACAAGTGGGTCCCTGTGACAGAGCCGAAGGTGGATGATGTGAGTACGTGGTTCTGGGGGGGCCACGCAGAGGGGCTGTCACCTGCCCTCGGGGCTGCCTGGGAGGCCCCGAGCCCGCATCCCCAACCCCTGCGTTGTCCAGAGGGGCCCTCAGAGAAAGACGCAGTGTCTCTGCCAGCTGGGGACCCAGCTCAGCACAGGGCTGCTGTCCCCAGCGCCCCAGCACCACAGCACCCGCAGACAGGGGCTTGTCCCACAGCTGTGGTGCTGGGCAGTCTGCCAGATGTGCCGAGGGGCACATGTCCGGTCATATGTTTTTCCTGCGGAGCCTCCCCAGCTGATCTTCGAGGACATAGGCTCAGAGAGGGAGGCCACCTCCCCAGAGACACACAGCGAGTATCGGAGCTGTGTCTCCTTCAGGTCTTCCTGACACTGAAGCTGCTGCCCGGAGAACCTCCTGGTGGTGACAGTGATCCCAGGAGGGAGAAAGTGGGGTGCAGGGTGCCTGGGGGGCACACCGACTGCGACCACAGAGGATCCATGGGGGCAGCGCTGCCCAAGTCCGGCTTCCTGCTCCAGGCCATCACCGCCCAGGACCTGGGTCGGCCACTCTCCTGTCCAGGTCCTGGCAGGATCTGGATGGGGCCTCTGCCTGGGCCGCCCCTCCTGCCTCTCCTCTGGGAAGGTGTCTCAGACCTGGGCATGGTGGACACTATGTGCCCAGCTTTCCTGGGAACACAGGGCTGAGCCTCCCTCCCTAGGCCCCAGCTGATCCTGCGATCGCAGCTTGACAGGCACAGGCAGGGCCGGTGCCGGGTACAGGACCCAGGCATGTGCCATCCCTGCTGGCCCTGTCTGGGCTCCAGGAGTGGCCAGAGCCCAGGCCTGTCCCTGTGTGTCCCCGACTGGGTCAGGTGCTGTGGAGCGGTTCCCACTGGGCAGAGAGAGAGAGAGTCTCAGGGCTGTACGTCAGCGGGTGCCTGGCCTTGTCCTTCTGTGCAGCAGGGTGGTGAGCCCGTTCGTGGACACCCAGTGGCCCCCAGCACCGTGCCCCAGAAACGCCAGCTGCCTTCGTGTCTCTGTGCTCAGCATGCGGAATGCTCTTGCCTTCAAGGGCAGGGTTCCCAGTCCTGCTGAGCGTGTCGATAAAATCCGAGCAGCTGAGTGGAGTCCGTAGATCCGGATCAGGAGCCTGCCATGTGGAGGCGTGGCTTCATATTGTTTTAGAAATACCCAATTGTAAGGTGGGTGTGGTAGAGGACGCCTGTGTTCCCAGCCCTTGGGAGGCTGAGGCAGGAGGATCGCAGTGAGTCGAAGGCCAGCCTGAACTATATAGTGAGACCCTGTCTCAAAACAACAAACCAAAAAATAAAACCCAAACCAAAATACCCAATTGCTGTATGGTTACACTGTTTTTTGTTTTTACTTTAGAACTGAAATTTTTGTTTTTTTAAGCAAGTAAGACATATTTCAAAATTAAGAGCAGTTATGGTCCTTTGGTTTCTGGCATTTTGCTTTGTTTTGTTTTGTTGCTGGGTACTCTGTCATTGAGCTACAGCCCCAGCCTTCTTTTTATTTTATCTTGAGACAGGGTGTCACTATGTTGCCAGGATGGCCTTGGACTTGCAATCCTCCTGCCTCAGCCTGCCAGTACCTGGAGTTACAGTCCAGTGCTCCTGCACCTGGCAAACAGTTTTCAATGAAGTTGACTCATATTTATTTATTTTTTTGGGGGTGGTCACTGTGGATCAAACTCGGGTCCTTGCACTTGTGAGGCAGACAGCGGAACCACTGAGCTAAATCCCTGGTCCTCATATATCATTAAATTCATTTTTCTTCTTTTCTTAATTTGCTCTTTTGTGGGGGGCAGTACCAGGGATTGAACTCAGGACCTTGAGCTTGTGAGGCAGGCACAGCACCCCTGAGTTAAATCCCCAGATCTCTTTTAAAGTTTCTCCGTGTTGGGGATTGAACCCAGTGCTACAGGAATGTGAAGCTATAGCACTCTACCAGAGCCCAGAATGTACACTTTTCTGTGGCAGTAGGGATTGAATCAGGGCCTTTGTGCTAAATTATAATCCCAGCCCTTTTTATTTTTTATTTTGAAACAGGATGTCACTAAATTGCTCAGTTGCCCAGCCTGGGCTTGAACTTGCAATCCTCCTGCCTCAGCCTCCCAGACAGCTGGGATTATACATGCAGCATCATCCCTGGCTCAAAAGTCACTCTTTCGAGGTTAGGGTTCAGTGTTAGGGTATCCATAATTGTACAACCATCACCACTATCTGAAACACTTTTATCTCCCCAAAACAAAATGTAAAGAAAGTCATTATATTGTTCAGTTAATATACATTGATAATGGGGCTGGGGATTTAGCTCAGTGGTTCCACTGTCTGCCTTGTAAGCACAAGAGCCTGAGTTTGATCCCTTATACCAAAAAAATAAAAATTAAAAATTAAAAAAAAATATATATGTTGATAATTATAAGTTTGGGGAAAGGGACAGGATCTCCCTGTGTAGTTCAGGCTGGCCTTTGCTTCTTCTTTTTTTCTTTTTTCCTGGTACCGGGAATCAAACTCGGGTCCTTGAGCTTGTGAGGCAGGCGGCAGAACCACAGAGCTAAATCCCCGGCCCATTATTATTTATTTATTTATTTTGAGGTTGGCCTTGAACTCACTTCAGATTTGCTTCAGTCCTCCTGCGTCAGCCTCCCAAATGCTGGGATTACGGATATACACCACCACACCTCATAATTATAATGAAAAAATAAAAAAGAAAGCAAACAGTCTGGGGGTGATTGCACACGCCTGTAATCCCAGCTCCTTAGGAAGGCGAGGCAGGAAGATCCCAAGTTCATCCCCAGCCTGGGTAACTTAGCAATACCTTGTCTCAAAATAAAATTTGAAATGGACTAGAATGTTGCTCAGATATGGCTCCGTTGTAGAATGCTTGGTTAGCATGTGTAGGGCCCTGGGTTCACTGCAACAAAACATAAAAGAGGAGAGAAAAGAAAGCTCTGGCCTGTCGCTCTTGGTCCCCATCTGCCCGTCCTGCACCCACAGCCGTGACTCCCTGCGCCTGGGTGTGCTGGGGCCCGCGTTACTCCACTCCCAGCGCTGGCCTCTCACACAGGTCTTGGCGTGAATCTGCTGTCCTCTCTGGCCTCCCCCCGACTTCTCTTCCCTCGAGGCAGCCGGCACTCCCAGTTTGGGTTTGTCCTTGCAGAGGGAGCCGTGATGACAGAGCACGTTCCTCCTGTGTCACAGCTCATGGTGACACTCAAATGTTTAGTACCGTCTTTTATGCGTCTTGGAGATATTGAAATTGTTTTTGTTTAGGGTTCTGGGAATTGAACCCATGCCCTTCACGCCAGGCTACATCCCCAGCACTTTGTATTTTGAGATAGGGCCGGGGATTTGGCTCAGTGTTTTTGCCGCGTATCTCACAAGCGCAAGGTCCTGCGTTTGATCCCCGTTACCCCCCCACCAAATTATTTTGAGACAGAGTCTCACTGAATAGCACAGGTTGGGCTTGAATTTGTGATCCTCCTGCCTCAGCCTCCCAGAGTGCATGCACCACACACCTGGTTATATGTTGATGTTTTTGGTAGATCGTATTAGTTAAGTGAAGTACTGCCTTGTCCTCTGTAACTGTTACTTTGTATTATACTGAAGAAACATTGTAATTTGTTTAATGAGTCTCTTTCCTAGGGACAAAGCCATGTGATTTCCAGCACAATTCTATTCCTATGGTGACAATGAGGGCTGGTGACATTCAGCAGCGGAACACTTGCCAAGTATGCGCAAGGCCCTAGCTTCCAGCCGCAGAATTTTAAAAGAGAAAAAAAATGGGCCAGGCATGGGGGTGCGCACCTGTGATCCCAATACTTGGGAGGCCGAGGCAGGAGGATTGCTATCAGGCCATCCTGAATTACACAGCACCCTGGGACTGAGCAACCTCCATCTCATCCACCTGGCTCATCTCGTGCTTGCTCTATTAGCAATGCCTTGACCACTCCTGGCTGTGCACACACACACACTCACACACACACACCTTTGTGACTTGGTTTATACTACGTTCCCCCTCCAGAAAAACAAGAATAAGAAGAAGGGCAAGGATGAGAAGTACGGCTCGGAGGTGACCACTCCAGAGAACAGCTCCTCCCCAGGGATGATGGACATGCACGGTGAGCGCCCTCCTGGCAGGTTGGTTCGCATTCCGGGCTGTGCGGGCTGGGCAGGCTGGGGCCTCTGTGCCACACTAAGGAGGAAGGCAGGGGTTCTTCTGCACGCAAGGCCAGGAGCCTTCCAAAGAGCCATAGATGGAGCAGGGAGACTTGGAGCCAGGCATGGGGGTGCACTTCTGGCATTAGGGAGGCTGAGACAGGAGGATCCCTGTGAGTTCAAGGTCAGCCTGGGCTGCGTAGAGAGAGCTGTCTCCAAAACAAACAAACAAACAAACAAAAGATCCTGTCCTCGCCCAGTGACAAACCTCACAGGACGTGTTCCTAGTAGTCCCGGTGTGGGCAGGAGGATTTTGAGGTGCATGCCCTTTGTTCCGCCTGGCCAGGCCCAGCTTGCAGTGCAAGTGGCTATGGTTTCGTTTCATTGTGCCCTGGAGCACGTAGATGCTGACTGTGGTGCCCGCTGCAGGGCCATGGACACTGCCCTCCAGCCACAGCCGACTTCCTCTGTGAACTGCCGAGTTCCTCACGACCTGGGACCCGCGGGCAGAGCTGGGCCGAGGTGAGACTTGGCTGTCTCCTGGCAGTCATTTCTCTTTTTACCTCGCTATCCCTGAGGAAGCTCAGACCTCTGGCTTCATGCATTGTTCAAAAACCCCACACCAGAGCCCTCCCGGCCAGGCCCAGCAGGCCTCCTCTGTCCCCTCCTACTGGTCCCAGCTCTCCAAGGAGAAGCTCCACAGAAATTCAAACTGGAGTCTGTAAAACTGAGTTAGCTTTTTTTCCCTCAGTACTGGGGATTGAACCCAGGGCCTTTGCATTAAGCAATGTTCCCAGCCCGTTTATTTATTTATTAAGTTAGTTAGTTAGTTAGTTAGTTGAGACAGGTATGTGCTGAATTCCCCAGGCAGGACTTGAACTTGCAATCCTCCTGCCTCAGCCTCGCAGAGTGCTAAGATTACAGGCGTGTGCTACCGTAGCCCAAGCTAGCATCAAACTCAGTCTTCCCAAGCACTGGGATTACATGTAGGTGTGTGCTACAATGTCCAACCTGTGTTAGCTTTGGTGTCCGTCAGCTTTCTGCTCCTGTAACAAAACCCCTGAGACAATGAACTTTAAAAAAGGGAAAGGTTGATTTGGGCTCACAGTTTCAGAGGCTTCAGTCCCTGAGCTGTGGTGAGGTGGCTTGGCATTGTGGGAGTCCCACTTATCACCTGGCCAGGATCCAGAAAAACAAAGGAGAAGGGAAGGGCTGGAGCTGTCCAGCTGAAGTCAAGGCCCCTGACATAGCCGGGAGGCCTCCACCAGGCCCTGCTCTTTAAAAATGCCTGCCACCTGGCATAGTGGTGCATGCCTGTAATCCCAGCACTCGGGAGGCTGAGGCAGGAGGATCGCTATGAGTTCGAGACCAGCCTGGGCTGCATAGTGAGTTTCAGATCAGTCTCAAGTACATAGTGAGACCCTGTCTCAAACAAACAAACAAATAAAAATGCCTGCCACTTCCCCAAGATGCATGCCTGGACTTAGCCTCAACATGTGACAGGCCTTTGGGAGGACATTTAAGATCCACACTGTAGAAGCCAGGCATTGTGGCACCCAGTTTTCAGGAGGCTGAGGCAGGACTATTGCCATGAGTTCAAGGCCAGCCTGGGCTACGTAGCTCAAAAACCACACGCACACACACTCTCGCATGGCTCCCACCTGCCCACACCCCTATGGCCAGGATTCATTCCCTAGCCCTTTGGACTCGATGTGACATGCCCGGGCATTGCCTGAGAGCCCCCAGGCAGGATGCTTGCTATCAGGGGTCCAGGTCCCCCCCGATCCTGCCTGGACTCTCTGGGGCCCTTCCTTGGCTGAGTGATCCTCAGCTGTAATTTAACCTCTGATCTTTGAATCTGCTTTGTTTTAATCTGCAAAAGGGAGGCGCCAAGGCCCACTTGATGAGGTCATTGTGAGATTAAGCGAGATAATCCCCTGAGCTCTGGGCATTCACAACTCCGGCTTATGGAGCCATCACCACGTGCTGGGCACCCCGCCAAGCCATTCCAAGCTTTCCCTTGTTTGCATCTGGTTTCAATCCCATTGTACAGATAGGGAAACTGAGGCAGAAAGAGACTTCTGGGTGAGTGCTGGTGTTTGAGCCCCTTCAGAGGCAGAATCTGGGTGATGGCCTGGGCCGGTGCCCCAGGAAGACGGAGACACCCAAAGGAACCAGCAGCTGGGCCCCAAGGCCACTCCTCCCAGGCCCATGAGAAGGCTATGGACCAGGCCACGTTCCTGAGGGTTTGGGACATTGAGGGGACTTGGTATCTGCCCTGTGCAGTATTTTGTGGTTGTTTCATTTAGTTTTTTGCAGTCTCATCATTGAACCCAGGTCCTCACACACTAGGCAAGTGCTTTTCCCCTGGGCTGCATCCTCAGCCCTTTCTGTAGATTTTTATTTTGAGGATGTGTCTCACTGTGTAGGCCCAGGATGGGCTCCAGCTGGAGAACTGCCTGCTTCTGTCTCCTGAGAAGCTGGGATTACAGGCATCACCCTTGGGCCCCATGCTGGGCTCCCTCATCTCCAGATAGGTTGGGAATGGCCAGGGGTCAGCAGCCATTGTCTGGGCCCCAAGTCTGGCTGGTCACAAGTTAGTGCTGTTCTAGGCAAGGGGCGCTTCCTCTCGGGCCTCAGTTTACCCCTGTAAAGTGGAGGTGGTGACAGACAGCACCCACCCGGCAGGTTGTTGGGAAGGTTAAATGAGGTGATGAGGTGCCTGTAGACCAGCTACTTGGGAGGCTGAGGCAGGAGGATCTCTATGAGTTCAAGACCAGCCTGGGCTACATAGTGAGTTCAAGGTCAGTCTCAACTACATAGTGAGACTGTCTCAAAACACCAAAAAAAAA